GTGTAGTATGTAATCATGCACTTAATTATATATATACAAAATAAATATCAATATATATATTGATCGATATAAATTGAACGTTTTTCCATTAAAACTCTCCCCCCTCCATCTCCCTCAGAAAAACTAGACGCTTATGTAATGTTTAGTGTTGATTTCTTCGTCTATAAAAGTTGGTGTTTTTATTAACTTTAGAAAAATCAAACATTACATGTGACAATTATAGCTTCAATAGAAAAAAACCGCGAAAATGACTAAAATACAAATAAATAATACAGATTAGAACATGTTAAAGGTTATATAGGTCAATCTGTTAATCAGACCATGACAAGAGCAATATATAGTGAACGTATGGACACATGAGATAGGGAGAATGATGGAGTAAGTTTATTTAAACCTCATGTATAACTTCTTGCACCGTTTCACATGTCTCACAATATTGTTCTCTCTTGTTTTTTAAGTAACAGAGTAACTTAACTAAAACTCAGTCTCAGGTTTAGAGCATATTAACAAAGGCCTCTTAGGGGGGTTTCTGGTAATGATAAAACATATCATATCTTCATTGTTGCTTGAAACACAGGATTCTCTGTAAACGATAAAATATATTATATTCTCATTGTTGTTTAAAATAAAGGATTTTCTGGTAACGATAAACTGTATGACATCCTCATTGTTGTTTAAAATAGGGGATTTTCTGGTAATGGTAAGATATATTACATTCTCATTGTTGTTTATAATACAGGAATTTCTGGTAATGATAAAATATATCACATCCTCATTCTTGTTTAAAATACGGGGTTTTCTAGTAATGATAAAATATATCACATCCTCATTCTTGTTTAAAATACGGGGTTTTCTAGTAATGATAAAATATATCACATCCTCATTCTTGTTTAAAATACGGGGTTTTCTAGTAATGATAAAATATATCACATCCTCATTCTTGTTTAAAATACGGGGTTTTCTGGTAAGAACGAAGTATAACACATCCTAGTTCTTTACCACAGTCATTATAAATGAAAAACGTTTAAATACATTTTTCAACGACGTAAATTAAAAACAAATCCATATGGCATTAGATAACTGTTTTCAATTGTCACTTTAATGTTAGCGCTATAATGGAAACACTAAAATCTGTTCTTTATCGTAGCTATTTATTTGTTTGTTTGTTTTTGAATTTCGCGCAAAACTACGTAAGGGCTATCTGCGCCAGCATTCCATAATTTAGCAGTGAAAGACTCGAGAGAAGGCAGTTAGTCAGCACCAACCCCCGCCAACTTTTGGGCTACTCTTTTACCAACGAATAGTAAGATTGGCCGTCACATTATAACGCCCCCACGGCTGAAAGGGCGAGCATGTTTGATGGGACGGGGATTCGAACCCGCGACCCTCAGATTGCAACTCGAGCGCCCTAACCACATGGCCATGACGGGCCTCAGCTGTTTATAGTAATTACACACGTTTGTGGGAAATGTAATGAAAAATTAAACAACTCAGACATCAGATTAAATGTTTCTGATACACTGAGTGTATTAAAGTTTGTCACCATTTACCAAAACATTCAATACAAAGAAAAAACCAGAAGACCAGGCATTATTTAAATGACCTAATAACCGTGGCAGAGAAAAATGATCGAAATTCCGCAAAATATTAATGCAAGAGGGCGCTGCATTCAGATATATTTAAAACTGATTTTATAGTCAAGAAATTGAATTCTAAAACTTACGCATTAATAGCTAGAAGATACAAGAAATGAGGTGCCATGAGTTTAAAAAGAGGGTGAGAAGGTGACATATTCCTGTGTGCACACACCACAACGCCCTCCATCAGCAAGTGGGTGAAACCTAAAAGATTTCAACATTCGAAATGATTTACTAATTTCATAAGATATTTAATTAACCTCACTCATTAACACATAGAAACTATAAATATTTTTCGTCAACCGTTTCTTAAACAGTTGTACAAAAACAACAATAACAAAACTACTACTTCTATAAATATAGAATATGTAATATGAAATATTGTAACACCTTTACGCAAAAACAACAGTTAATTGTAATAAAAATAGCAAAAGGTGTATTTAATCAAGCGCAGTAAAAATATATTTTTCTACAGAATTTCTATGTTATTAAACACAGATACACGGATAATTAGTTTTACATTTGTAGATAATTTCGTAACACAGTTGAAATCAAAGATGTTAAACAATAGTTCAAGCACGATAACAAGAAAACCAGATTACGTCATTCATATCGAGAACAATTCAGTATCTTTTTCGTATATAAATATTGTTACAGTCATTGATCGTGACTAATATATATACAACAAAGAAAAATCAAATAATAATAATAATAACTTTCCTACAACAAAGTTTGTTCTTAGTTTCAAAATAAAATAATTTTAAGCTATATTGGTGAATTTGAACCAAGAACTAAAACATATTTATCACCTTCCTCGAGAAAACTTTTTTTCATAAAATACAAATAAAAAAGAAGCTATATTTGAATTAAAAACTAAATATAAACTATCGTACTAAAAAGCAAGTTTTCAAATTACCCTTGACAAATCTACCTAGTACGTTTTATACAGTCTTGGTTCTCTGCTGATCGAAAAAAGTAGCTGCATAAGATGTCTGTCGTTATGAGGAATGACTGTATAAAGCACGTCGACATTTGTCACTGAGTACATAAAGCTGACAATATTCAACGTATCACCACTTCTTTTCTATACATGAAAGGTTATTTACTGTCGTCAAAAATGACTTTGCACTTAGTATGTTTGTTTGTTTGTTTGTTACGGATTTCGCGAAAAGCTACACAAGGACTATCTGCGCTAGCCGTCCCCAATTTAGCAGTGTAAGACTAGAGGGAAGGCAGCTAGTCATCACCACCCACCGCCCAATCTTGGGCTACTCTTTTACCAACGAATAGTGGGATTGACCGTCACATTATAACGCCCCCACGGTTGGAAGGGCGAGCATGTTTGGTGGGACAGGGATTCGATCCCTCGACCCGCAGATTGCGAGTCGAGTGTCCTAACCACTGGCCATGCCGGGACTTGCACTTAGTAAACCAGAATTTTGTAGCCTTTCGTTTCCAAAGGAGACACATGTCGCGTGGGATCTTGTATCTATGTGATTTTATAATTCCATAAGTTTTGTAATGCTTATATAAATTCCTGCTCTCACATATAATTATTTTTACTCAATCATTTAATACAAAAATCATCATTTTTGCTCCAAGTATTTATGTTTAGGAGAAGGGACAGGTTCTAAATAAGTTATAAACCAACCAATGAATTATCGATTGGAAGCATGCTCACTGACTACCAGTTATTATACATTCTAAATGTATTATAATACTATTTAGGCCACGACTACAAACATAGATAGAGAATATTAGGAACTCAAGTACAAAAAAGACGTTTAGGAATCTATCCAGGCTTACCTAAATGAGTACATGACTGATGATAGGTGGCATCAGCGTTGTTGTAGAAGATCTTAGCCAACAGCCAGGTATACTGAGGATCACTTGGTAAGAAAACCTACTCCCCAAAACAATAAAATGCCATCTCTAAAATAATGCTTATTTCCAAACTACTTTTTTTTTTGTAAATTTATGAATTATACATCATCTTGAAAGTTCAGATTTATTGCAATCATTGACATCAAACAGTATGTATGTCTTAGAGCAACTTCAAAGTTTTGAATTCACTACTAAATCTACTTCTGGTTATCTATATAAATATAATAGTTCTGTCTGTTGTATCTCCATGTAACTACTTCGCAGGGTGTGGATGGATCTTCCCCAAATTTGGTATGAAGGTTCTTTGGGTCCATGGGGAGATGCATACAAATTTTCGGTTTTGCATTTTGCGTTTTGCAGTTTTTGTTGGCGTTTTTGCGTCTTTTACCACTGCTTCGTCCCCTTGAATCCCTATATGCCCAGCATGTCAGGAATCCCCACAAGACACAAACCATCTCGTGTTGCACTGTCCGGTCACTGCGTTACCGAAGGGATATGGTACAATCCATGAAACGGGTGAGACATTCATTATTGGATCATGACTAAGAATTTGAAGGTGTGAGAAACACCATATGCAACTACTACTTCGTCCCCTGTAGATGGACTGGACCTTCACCAAATTTGGTATGGAGGTTCATTGGATCCAGGGAAAGATATATACAAATTTTCAGTTTTGCATGTTGCGGTTTTTATGGGCGCTTTTGCGTTTTTTACTACTACCTCACCTCCTTTGGTTGGATCTTCACCAAATTTGGCATGAAGGTTTGTTTCCATCTGCAAACTTGAGGTTTTACATTTTGTGTTTTGCGGTTTTTATTGGCGTTTATTTTTTTATTTTTTTTTACAATTACATATAAGAGAAGCAACTTTTCATGTTCTATGTTTGTTTGTTTTTGAAGTTCGCACAATGCTACACGAGGTCTATCTGCGCTAGCCGTCCCTAATTTAGCAGTGAAAGAGTAGAGGGATGGCAGTTAGTTATCACCACCCACCGCCAACTCTTGGGCTACGCTTTTACCAACGGATAATGGGATTGACCGTCACACTATGTCGCCCCCATGGCTTAAAGGACGAGCATATTTGGTGGGACGGAGAATCGAACCCGCGACCCTCACATTGCGAGTCAAGCGCCTTAACCACTTAGCCATGCCGGGCCTGCGCTCTTTGGAACAGAATAAAGACTCCAATGAGTAAATAATATGAGCTTAAAGACTTAAAGACTTAAACTAATAACGACTTTATATTTGACCAGGGTAAAGACTTCAGCTTATAGCTAATATAGACTTTGTTCATCTTCGCACTGTTACGAGGAGTGCCGATACTCCACTAAAAAACAAAAACTGTAGAGCTTTATATTATAACTAACGTATTAAACATTTTAAATGTTATAGAATAAAATGTGGCTGATTATAAATCTAGCCAAACAATATAAATGAGTGCATATAATGTTTCACAGGCTTACACTAAAATAGAACTGTAAGTTGGTAAAACAATATTGACGCTAAAAATACATTAATATACAAATGAAATGAATACGAGTTGGAGCTCAGAAAATACTTATCACTATTCTATTTAAATTACGTTAAAACAATATCATTTGGAAATATCTTAAAAACTCACAGGGTTATCAGAGGCCTTGTCTTGAAAGAGTTGTATGGCGATGGGCATTAATTCTTTTTTCTCATTGAGGAAAAAGAGGGCAATTGGAGCTACCAACTGGAAAAAAGTAGCTTTTTTATTAAAATTTGAGGTAAAAAATTAGTTTCATATCAGTAAGATAATGCTTTAAATTGATAACTGAATGAAAATAAAAATTTATAAAACGTCTTGGTATATCTATTTAAAAACCAAAATGAATCTCAACAAAAATGTTAACTTTCAAACAAAAACTTCAATATCGTCCTTTGACTGTTTTTGCGGCATATGCGTCATGTGACTATGTCTGACTACTTCATCCATAGCTTTTATTTAGTTTTAACACATTCATGTGATAACCACCCCTTTCTCTATCTCTATTAGAATAGAATAGGTTTAGTTTATCAAACTTTAAAAACAAAATTATACTTATCAAGCGTTTAACACACGTATTATGATCAAAATGCAGTTAGATTATGGTATTTCCTGACCTTATTCTCGCGCTAGTCACGCACTGGCACGGATTTCTATACTCTTCCATGGAAGGTGTCGATAGAGGGTTTATTAGTTTTAAACTGGTATACTCATAGAGTCTTAGAACTACCTGGAAGATGTGTTCTCCCTTTTTTAACTTATGAAATGACCGAGAGACGTGGGTGACAATGGTCTGGAAGGATTGGCTCTATTGTAATAAACACATAGTGATCAACTTTCTTAGTCTAGACAAAACTTCTTCAGGTCTTCCCGCTAGCTAGACCTCTCTCTCTCTCTCTCCATTTGGAAGAGTCGTGCTGAAAAGTGTATTGTGTACTCATCTTGCTTGTGAAATGTATTCACAATAAAGATTTATTCTTCATTCTATTTTACGTTGTATTCAGACTCTGTTCTTCAACTCAGACAGATCAGAATATGGGTGAACCTGAGAATGCCAAAACTCGTTGACACATTCCTTGAAGAAGAGAGGATTGA